GGTTGTTAAACAAGGTTATTCAATTTTAGTTGGATTTAGTGGGAAATAACGTGTGACACCAATAAGTGTCGATCGTAGTCTATAGTGATAACCATAGTCTCCTGGAGGGAGAGCGAGAGTTTGTGTATAGATCTATACGAGGGCGACTCCCCCACACATGAGTTGTTCGCTACAGTTAGACCCGGCCAGTCCAGGGTGACAAAATCTTGATCAAAACTAGCGTTTGGAAAAATGCCAAGACAGGCGAATTAGTCATTATTATGCATGGTTATAACGACTCACATATAGATCCATTACTACCTAAGTAATCATGGGAATTCATATTCATTCTTTGTGATGATACAATAATACAAAACTATCATACTATTTATATCGGAAAACATTGGGGTTTCCGGGGGAACAACATTATTCACTCCTACATACAGCAACTATAATACAAGAATCAATTTTGAATAACAATCACTTTTACTTGTTATGAAATCACATATATATGCACTTATGGGATCATCACATCTTTTTCCTTGCAAACAGTTTTTGTACAGAAAATATCGGATTTTCTGGGTTGTACAAACAATACAAACTAGTTTTATATCAAACATGCTTATGAACTCACCAATATCATATATGTTGATGTTTTCAAAATTACTTGTATTCTCAGGTAACAGGTAAGCTGAAGAAAATTATCAAGTGTGTTAGGATGTTATGTTTTGTGACACTCAAACAATTTATGTTATGGATATATAACATGTAAACAATGTACTTGATGTGAACAATGACAGTTGTACTATGTAATGTTGGTGATGTATGTGTTTGTTCATGTATATTCATTGTAATGGTATTCAATTGATAGTCACACAATCCCTCATATGTTTATGCCGTCTGGTTTGGGGATGTGACATGGCTCCATCCGCCGCAACTCGAGCCATCTTTCTTTCTCGTTGCCTTTCTCCGGACCCCTCTGCCACCGGTTGCATGATCGTTATTGTCGCCGTCGCTCCTCTCTTTTTATATAAAGGAACCGCTGCTGGTCATCGGTTCTTCTCCCTCCTTCTTCGACAAGCAGTTGTTAGCCGTCATTGCTAGAGATCTGCCACCGTCGTTGTCGTTGTCTTCATTTATGTTATGTTTTATGTTTTTGTTTTTCCAGTTCAATCATCCCCTACCGATCAAACTATCGGGGGGGGGGGGGGGGAGGTGTTAGTGATCAGTGTTTAGGCCCAAACCCTTTAGAGTTTAGATTAGGTCTTTTATGTATTCCTATTCATGTGAGGTTTAACCTCACTATTTATCAATGAAACATTTTATTATCTTACAAAATGAAATGGAGAAAAGAAGTTGTTAGTTTATTAAGGAATTAATAAATTAATAAAAAGTATTTTGGTTTTTAATTAAAGTGGTTTAATTAATTAAAGTGCTTGAATGTTAATTAATCCAAGAGATTAATTGGAATATTCCATAATCTCCTTGAAGATGAGGGTGGATGGTTTTGGGCTATCTCTAGGATAGGGATAAGGCTGATGAATCAGATAAAGATAAACCCTAGAGTTTGATTCCTTGTGGGACTACCTGCAAAATATAAATAGACTGCCACCCTAGAAGTTGATTTTCTCCTCTAGAATTCGTCTATCTATCCTCTCCCCAATCTATGAAGAAATTTTAACCCTCTCCTAGGGTTAGTCTAATTTCGTATAAACCATCGGTTAGGGTTTCATCTTTTTGGTGCTTTTTGGCATTATGGGTGTGACTACATTAGAAGAGTTATCCTTTGGGCTCTTCATCCTTTGCAAGAGATTTCATTCACATGATCTATGGATCAAGAGGTAAGTATTCAGTCCTCATTATAGGTTGATTCTAAAGTACATTGCTAAAACTAGTAAAACTTAGATCTAGGAAGCATGTGCACTTAGGTATGTCTTTTGATTATTTCCGTTACCTTGGTTGTGTGTACTTGATGCTATAGAAACCTAACATGTTACCATGATAATTGTACTTGCCATATGGCGAACACACTTGCTTTTCAATACAATTAAACTCAAACCATACCTAAGCAAACAATTTTTTGGGTCATTTAAATACTAAGGTTGTGGGTAGTAAGTATAGTAGAGCCTACTATGGAACCGACATCTAATGAGATTTCAATTCAAAATACAAATTAAATATTCATGGAAACAAGCATGACATGCGACATAACATGCAGTTAAGCTTATGAGGGGATCCAAGAGGAATCATTCTCTATACTCCCTTTGTGGTATTACAACTTGGAGAAACATAATCCTAGAATAGTGATATCATTCAAAATTTAAGTAATTATTCTTCTCGATCCACAAAAATCTTACTTTCTTATAATTTCATAAGGTTGTATAATATATTTCCATATCTTTTTTAATCTATTTTCATTGTTTTGTATATATGTGCCTTATTTAACAAATGTAAGCATGTCCCTGTGATAGTGGTCGCCCTACCTAAAAGTAACTTTCTGGGCACCATGTTGTTGGTAATTGCGATGGACGGTAACAACCAGATTTTTCTAGTGACACATGTAAAATTAAAGAGTGAGTGCACATATATGTGGACATGGTTCCTACAAAAAAACTTTATGATTGTATCGACAACTTGAAATATTTAACCTTCATTTCTGATCAGGCGTCATCGATTGTGGCAACCATTACAAATCAATTCTGGAATGAATATAATGGTTTTTATGGTCATCATCTTTTATCAAACTTACGAACTAAGTTAAAAAAAAAAGTTAGAAGATAAGAAAACAAAATGTTGTCTAGAAAGCATGCAAATCATACATGCGTCGGATTTTGATGAGATTTTTTGAATGCTACGTAATACAACAAGTAATAATATGATTACTTAAAACTCGTACATCTATTTTTTTTTCTTTATCAAATGCATATTTCCACGGTTTTTGTTATAATCTTATGGAATCAAACAATGTGAAATTCATCAATTCATTGTCGAGAGATAAAAACAACTTTATTTAGAGAAATAACATTTAATAATATAGCTATACATTTACAAATAACGAAAGTAATTGGCCCCATCCAATATCACCATTCGTCTAAAAACTGTTTTTGAATCCTCATAAAAAAGAACAAAAAATCAATGATAATTTATCAATTTCACAAATATTAAATTAAAATTTTGTATAAATTACCAAAATGTTCAAAAATTTAAAATAATATCGTAGTTTTTATTGTATGGATTTTCATAGCAAACACAAATAAATTTTGTAGTGCCACAATAAAATGTTAGGTTGAGATAAATTTTTTTTAAAAAAAAAGTTATTCTAAAATAAAAAACATCTAAAAAATCCCTTAAATACAAATTTGGTGGACATTTCGATAAAATTTCAATTTTTTTTTCATTATTTTATAGAACATGGTTTACTTATATAAGTGAGCATTTGGATCTTCAGATCGGGAAATAGATTTGGATCTGGACCTGATAAGCCTCAAAGCCTCAACAAGTTCAATCTAAAATCTACAAATTTCTATAAACCAGTTTGATCCAAATGTCCACTCTTATGTCCAACAACCGAGAACCAGACCTAGACCTGATAAGCACCAACATGTTCGGTCCATGGTCCATCAATTTCTGCAAAACCGGTTCCACCCAAGAGTCGTCCCGTTTAGATCCAAATGCTCATTCTTACGTCCAACAATTCTAGACATGATAAACATTAATAGGTTCGGTCCAAAGTTGACAAAATCCTACAAAATTGGTCTGGTCCAAAAGTCGGTTGAGTCAAAATATTCACACCATATTTATACAACTACTTTTATTTTCTCTTTCTCAAATATGTTTTTACAACGGAAATAAAAGAAAATAAAAAAAAATATTTTTCTTTTCGGGTAGCTAAGCCAAACAACACAGAGTCAGGGAAAAATTTATAAATTCATTATAAATTTTATACTAAATGAAGATAGTTTTTATATTATAATCCGATTTTTATCCAGTATATTCATTTTTACTTCTTAGGTTTCAGAATAAAGTGGAATAAAATTTGCAATAAAGCCTTAATTTGTATATTTTTTTTTTACGTTTTTACCCTTACTTATATGCATTAATGGATAGTTTTTATATTATAATCCGATTTTTATCCAGTATATTCATTTTTACTTCTTAGGTTTTAGAATAAAGTGGAATAAAATTTGCAATAAAGCCTTAATTTGTATATTTTTTTTACGTTTTTACCCTAACTTATATGCATTAATGGAAAATACATATTTATATACAAAAATAGTTGTTTGATTAACATCATATTTATTTTTTTAAATGTGTATTCTTTATATATATATATATATATATATATATATATATATATATATATATATATATGTTTATACGGTTTAATACGTAAAAATAATTTTTAGAAACATAAATATGCTTTTTATAAATATAAGAGTGAACTTTTATATTTATAGAAGTAAATATTTATTTTTATAAGTATAAATATATATTTTATGTTTATTAGATGTATACATATATTTTTTAGGAATATTAATATATTTTTAATATAAATATATATATTTTAATGTTTTTAGAAATATAACTATTAAGTATATTTTATGTTTTAAAAATAAAAATGTTTTTTTTGCATATAAACACGTTTTGATTAATATCATACGTGTATTTATATTTCTAAAAACATATTTATATATTCTAAAAACTAAATGTATATTTTCAAAAATACATTTATATTTCTGAAACTTATATTTTAGGATGTAAATAGTATAAAGAAATAACATTAAAAAAAACATAAATATGTTGTTTAAATAAATATTTTGTTGTATATAAATTTATTTTTTATATTAATACGTATAATATAAAAAAAATATAGTGAAAACGTAATAAAAAACGTAATAAAAAACTGCAGACTAAAGTGTTATTTTTTTTTTTTACAAATTTTATTTTATGAAAACCTAAAAACTATAAAGAAATCAAAAAAAAATTATAGGTAAAATATTTTTTGAAATATTTCTGCTATAATGCACATAAAATTGATTTTAAAGTAAGAAAGTATTTTTTTTAGAAAAAACTTTAAAATTTTCATTTTCCCTTTTATAAACCATGAAACTAAAAAAAGGACTGCTAGCAGCCTAGCACATCTCTCACTGCATATGGTTGCGACTTTCGATTGTAAAAGATGGTGGACAGAATAAAAATTTTAATATTGGGATCACATAAATCATAAATGAATATTTTTTTAGTTTCTATAGTTTTGATAGGAAATAGGTATTTTTAGTAAATACCGATCCGAGTCAATATTTTAATTCCTGAATATAAAACTTACACGCATCTATCACATGCATATGAAATAATCAATGCCTTTTAAAATCAATGTTAACGACCATTCTATTTGTTAATACCAATCCAAGTCAATATTTTATAATTATAATTTTAATACATTATATTTAAATTAAGCTGTATTAAACTTGAACTTTTTTTACAATATCTAGTTTGTATACTTAATTATCGGTCGCCATTGTTCAATAACCCCCAAGGTCTGAGGTGGGTTCTATCATATTATTTAGAGAAAATTTTATTAAATCTGGGTTTTTAAATCATCATTTTACGTGAGTAAATAAATGGATGCTGTGAATAAATTTTATCCACGAAATATAATAAACAAGCAAAAAGTGTAAAAACAAAAAAGGAGTTAAGGAAGACTTGTAAAATCCAAACACGTGTCAAAAGCTATCCACATATCCACGCAAGGTAAGGAGGCCAAAGTGGTCCTAAAAACCGTCCCCAAAGAGATTAGAGAGGTTTATGGTCACCTGTTCTTTCCTCCCATACCCTTGGAAATTACGTTTTTACCCTTCACCTTGAAATATATAAACAAGGGGTTTAAGCTCCCTCTCCTCTCTCCTTCCATTTCTATTTCTTCTTCGATTGTTTTCTCCAAAACCACTCGGTGGTTTTTCTTGATCTAAATTTCTCCCTCCATAATTATATTACATTTTGTTGTTGTTTGCAATTCTCTGTGTATGATTGCACAGATTGTATCATACAGATTTCAAATCCCACGCTCCATGTACAGTTACGTGTAACATAGAAATTAATCGGATCAATCGGTTTTTTCATCCAAAACAGGTATAATTACCCGATCGCCCAATCCTCTTCATCACTTCACGATTCTGATTTTCTCGAGTTTTGGATGTTAAATGTCTGACTTCCGATTGGCGTGAATTTGTGTTTTTCTCCGAGATTTGCCCCGATCTCCTCCGCAATTAAGCTTTTTGGGATTGGTAGTTCAGATATCAGATCGGATTTCTTTCAACTTATCTGTATCTCTCTGATCGCGTTGAATTTTGAGTTTTGGGGATTACTGAGTTGTAGTTTTATTACTATCGATTCTAAGATCCAATCCAAGATGAAATGCTATTTCGTTAAATTCTATGTTATTAACTAATTATGAACTTTATGGTTTCTATGATTTATGGATGAGGTTTTTGTAATAGTAAATTGATATTGCATGTTTCAAGTACTTTTACTTTTTCGTCTTGTATTTCCATAATTGTTAATTTTGTTGAATGTGTTTGACCATCTATGGCGGTGATTTCTATGTGGGGACTCCAGCTTACCATAGATCTGTCCTAATATTATTATTATTGACATCATGAATATTCCCTCCCAAATTATGGGATCTAGCTTCTGGTCATCTGGTGTACCAAGGGTTGAAAATTACAGTTTCATTTAATTGCTCCATCTTTTATGCCAAGTTATCTGGGATCGAAATGACGTAGGAAAGACAACCAGTTTTTGAATCACCATTTTTTTTTTTTTGTACCTAACAACTTTCGTAGTTGTGCTGATATTAAGAATGAGGGATTTATTGCTCTCAAAGATCGTTGCAGTAAATGATGTAGGCGAGTTTTGGGAAGTTTTGTTGGTTAATGAACTGACTCGATCCGTAAATTTATGGTTTCAAGATCTTGTTGACGTCCTGCTGGCTTCTGATTTAGTGCCTTATCTGGTCTTTTAACCAAACCTTTTTTCAGAAGATGATGTCATTGTCTGTTAATGTTATAGCTTTTATCTTTTAGTGATATAGATCAGATGCATCCCATTACATGTTATCCGGCTTTATGTCAAGTTTGGTACACAAGTCCTAGATGATGATTATCTACATTCAAACTTCTGATTTTTTTTATTATTAAATTGCAGAAAGGCCTCATCATTGCTTCATTGTGGTTGATGTTCTTTCTTGGAATGTATGCCTAAGAGATGGTGTCAAAGAAGAGACTACATTATGGAGGATTTGATGGTTTCCGTTCCCCTGTGGTACCTAAAGCTCCCAGGTCTATAAGGGTGAGTATACAATGAAATGTCTTTAATTACAATTCTCCCCTGATTCATGAAAGCTTCTATTGACATTATTCTTGTTTCTTTTAGAGGAATTCACATAAGAAACCATCAGCAGGCAGTGAAATTTGCCCCTTTGAGTTACTAGCAGCTGTAGCTGGCAAGTTATTGCAGGAAAGCGAAGGTTCTGCTTCTAGCACTAGTTCAGAACAAAAAGAACAGATTAACATTCCTAAAGATAATGTCAAGCAGGAACCACTTGAAATTAAACTCAAACCTGCAAGATTAGAGGATCTTGATCAGGGATGCTGTGCTGAAAGTCAGTTTGTTCCTGAACCCTCTATTCTAGAGTTAAAGCTAGAACCCCCATTGAAGGATTCACTACACTCTGATAATGATTCTGGCTTAGAACATGCTTCTATAGTTACCACTTCAGATTTCTTTAAAGAAATTGGCACTAATGTGAAGTTGGAAGTCTCAGATAGCAAGAACATAGTTATTGATACTCCTAGCAAATCAGAGGGAGGGTGTTATAGTCATTGGGACTTATGTGATGTTAACATGGATGCAACTGCAAATATACCTAAGCTAATAGAGAAAGAAACTGAAAAGTTGCAGGAAACATGTGTGGAATTAAATAAATCATATAGCAGTGTACATGTACCCTTTTATAGCAATCCTGTTCCTAGTGCTTGTTTTCAAAGGCATAGGGACAACAATGTAAAGGTAGGAATTAGAGATGATGACGAAAATTGTTTTAGTTACAATCAGCATATCACCAAAATGAAGGCGTTTAGGTTGCAGTCATGTGGTGGGTACAGAAGAATAAGAAAGATGTTAACTTCAAAGTATTGGAAAACAGCTCCAAAGCTTAAAGATTATGAAATCTCCAACACTACCAGTAAGTCAACAACTCTCTTACACTGCTTCTGAAATTTCATGCCATGTGTCATGTGTGATGTGACCCTGTTATGAATGTTGGTTCTTTTAGGTGGTGGATTGAAGTCCTTCAACCAGTATAAGAAGTATATGCACAAGCGAGAACATTGTCAAAGTCAAACAAAGTCTCCTTTTAAAAAAAGGAAGCTCTTTCCTGCATATGTTGAGGAAACAAGTAGTGAAAGCATATCTAATTTACCCGAGAGGCATCTGTCAAAAAGAGGTCCTTAATATTTTCCATGTTTCTTTTTCATGTATAAATCTATATACAAATAATAACCCTGTTTATGGTGGTTATATTATAATTATACAGTGAAATTCAGCATAAAGTCTTTTATAGTTCCGGAAGTATATCTTGAAATGCCAGAAACATCGACAGTTGGATCTTTAAAGGTTGGCATGCAGTCAAATAAAAGTATAAAACTAAAAGTTAACCATTTGGTTCCATTGCTGACTTTGTTTTTCCCTGAATCAGAGAAATGTTATGGAAGCTCTGACAGCTATTCTAGGAGGTGAATTACACTTAGGGGTACTTGTTGAAGGCAAGAAAGTTAGAGATGACAATAGAACACTAGAAGAAACAGGTATTTCGTTAAACAGTGAGACTTTGGGATTCGTGTTGGAGCCTAGTCTTCCGGAAGCTTCACCAAAACAACCTCCAATGTCTCCTCCTCCACAATCTGACAATCATCAACCATCATCCACGTAATATAATTTCCCCTTTTTCTATACTCACAATACCATTTTTTATTCATGAATATAATATATGGTTTGTGTGATTAAAATTATCAGGTCTCCGGATAGTCCACTTACAGAGACAGTGTCTTTGTCAAACAGTTCAGAAAGTAAGTTGGAGAAGGAAATTGAAAAAAATAAAGAAGAAGAAATCGAAATAGTGGTGGATACAAAAGCAAAAGCTATTATACCAATCACAGCAGTGACTCCAGAGGCACTTTCAATAGTTCCATTGAACCATAATAATAACAATAAATTGATTAGCAAAAGATGTGAAGCTTCACAATCACAACGTAGAACCAGGAGACCATTTTCTGTTAGTGAAGTGGAAGCACTTGTGGAAGCAGTGGAAACACTTGGAACCGGAAGATGGCGTGATGTTAAAATCCGTGCTTTTGACGATGCAAACCACCGAACTTATGTCGACTTGAAGGTAACAAATCTAGATTTTTTTTTTTTTTTTGAAGTAAAAGATTGTGAGAGAGAGTTGCATGGTGTTTTTATACATATACAGGATAAATGGAAAACATTGGTTCATACAGCAAGTATCTCACCACAGCAAAGAAGGGGGGAGCCTGTACCACAGGATCTTCTGGACAGGGTGTTGGCTGCACATGCATATTGGTCACAGCATCAATCAAAGCAAAATGGGAAGCATCAGACTGAACTGATTCAGACACTTGGGACTCCGGTTAAAGTCTGATTGGAGTTCCGACTTGGAAGGGGGTGTACAAAGAAAAGATTTAGGTAAAGAGTAGGAAAAAAAAAAAAGAAGTTTTAACTTGTTTAAATTACACAACACTTCACATGTTTATGGTTTTTACTTTTTAGTTGCTGTGAATTTGTTCGTCTTAAATTAAGTTGGAAGGAAGGGGGGGAATAAGGGGGTTTTAACATGTTGTTTATCATTCTTTTTGTACATTGATTGTAATTCTATTTGTAATTGGATGCATTTTGTAATCTTCTTAATCAAATTGATTTATGTCACCTCTTTTTTTTTTTTTTTGTTTCCTTTTAATTATTGTTTCGTTTCTATTATAATACAGGTATTTGCCTCATATGTCATTTTCTAAAAATGACTTTCACATCACAGAATATTCTCTTGTGGAAATGACTCATCATTCATTTCATTCATTCTACACAGTTTTTCAAGACTTCCAGTATGACTACAAGTTTACAATCATAGCAGTCATTATTAGTCAATTATCCACACACCGGTAAATTTTGGTTGAAGAGGATATATATTATAGCAAAACTAGTTTGTAGACAGTAGTTGTGAATTATAGTTTTTATTTGTTATATAAGCGTTTGACAAAAATAATAATAGAAAACTTTTGAAATATGTAAACTTTAAAAGAGAAATTAAAAGAGATTATGTTAAATTTATCAAAGATAATTATGAAAAATTGATAAAAAAAAATCCAATAGTTTTTTCTTAAATGTTAGATAAAGTAGCTTTTAAATTTGAAACTTTTTGTTTAAACTAAAGTTATGTTTGACAGAATAACTGAAAAGCTAACTGGTAGCTGAAAAGCAAACTGATAATTGAAAAGCTAGCTGCTAACTTATAAGCTAGCTAACAAAAAATAATGTTTTGTAAAAATTAGCTGATAAGCTAGCTAAAAGATATAAAATGAATATATGTTTTTTGTAATTAATTAAGGGTATATTTGAGAAATTTTTAAAAAACTCGTAAAAAGCTTACTCAAAATAGCTTTTTAAAAAGCTACTCAAAATAGCCTTTTAAAAAACTACTCAAAGTAGCTTTCTAAAAAGCTAGCTTATCAATTACTTTTTGGCTTGTCAAACATAACAATTTAAAAAAACTCAAAAAATAAACTAACTTATCAGCTAGCTGTGGCGCGCCAAACACAGCCTAAACATAAATTTTACTATTTTAAAATCAACTGTTTTTTGTTTAAATCGAGTTTATTTATTTATTTATTAAAAGCTAAAAACTTCCAAAAACCCATTAGTCATACACGTCCATAAGAATTAAGATACGACCCCCACCTCTCCTCTACTTTGGGCGCGTTCAGCAAAACTAGCTAGTAGCAGTTAGCGGGTGGCTGGTAGCGGGTAACGGGTAGCGTTCGATTTTGGAGCGTTTTGTTTAGGCTAAAAGTTAAACGTTCCCGTCGCTGAACAATGTTTTTTCTTTTTTACTAGTGTTTTCTTAAAAGCTAGAAGCCATAAGCTCTCAGACGTTGTGTGCTGAACACGCCCTTCATCTCTCAAGTTTTTGCTAGTTTAGTAATTAATTAATTATCACCGATAACATAAATTTTACTATTTTAATTTCAATTAAACAAAATTATGTGAATGTTATATAACGTCAAAAAAACAACATTTTTAAATTTTAAATTAGATGTCTTTTTCATCAGAATTAGAAGATCATACGTAATATGCAACATGTTTATAATTGATTTTTTTTTATAATTGCTCACACTCGTAACACTATTTACATAATGAGAGGTTTGGTAGAAGCTTATCCGATTTAAGGTTGAATAAAAAAATATGAGGCCAAGAAATACGATAAGTGGAGAGAATATTCGCAACGTAGATCCCGTTGCTGCTATGCTAAGATAGTGGGAGGAGCATGTGGATGGGGAATTGGGTGCTTTTTTTTCCTAGAAAAAAGTTTGAAAGCGCGTCGGAACAAATATGTTTTATTTTTTTATTAAACCGGAAATTTATATGTAAATATAAATTATACAATATAACATTTCTAAATCTAAATCAATAAACTAAAAGATTATTTAATAGTTGTTGATTGAGTCATTACTTTATTTAATCATAAACATCACTATGTTTCAAGTCTTATATCTTATTGAAATCATGTTATTTGATTATGTTACACTGAACGAGAAAAATACCTATTTTATTCTTTAAAACCAACCACTATGTTTAAAGCGTTGGTGTAGACCACACTGCAGTTTAGTTTTGTCTATGTTGTCGTAATCATAAATAAAAACTTCATTTAGAACCAATAATTGTGTTTAAATATAGTATTTTATCTCGACGCTTGTAAAAATGCCATAAATTACTGAAAAATATGGTATTTTCATAGGAAAACTTTAGAAAATAACACAAAACATCTTTGTAGGCATTTAGACACATTGTCTAGGCCAATCGCATGTAAACATGAATAATTTGGAAAGTTTTGAGAGAGAGTCACCATTGATTGAATTCATAAATTGTACAAGCTTATTACAATATTTGTTTTAGATAATATGTAACATCCGTATTCCAAATTGGTTAAGCTTACTTTTATCAGGGACCAAATATTAAATTTTGGAGGAAACTTTGTGCCACGACGTGGTGCAAGGATGTCCACGATGTGACAATGGTTTGAAGGATCACATGTTTATTTGGACCACCATGGCGTGGCCAAGGATTGCCACGGCGTGACAGCTGTTCTAGCATAAGCTCATGATTCTTTTAAGGTTCCCTTCATATTTAAACCGCTCTAAGCCATTTCTTGGGTTCATAATTAGCCCCCAACAACCTTATAACTCAGAGAAACCCTAGTTATCTTTTCCTTAGTGATTTGTGGCATTCTCGGAGCATTGTTGGCTTGGAGAAGAAGAGAAGAAGGTTCTCCATTGGTGGAACTTGCAAGGAACCAGCATCATCAACATCTCTCATAGCTTCTAGACCTTTATAAGTGTCAAATGCTCTAACTTTATGGCTTGAAGTAGCTAGATCTAAGATATTGTCCCATATTCTTCAAGATTGAGCAAGTTTGGAAGAAAGGAACTCATAAAGTTGGCAAACTTTATGACTCTCCTGAGTCCCATGAGCATCATATGTTGTAGATCTAGACTTTGGTTGGAGTTTTTTTTTTTCATTGAATGAGCTTTTGGGCATTTTAGCTTATTATGACCTAAAATGGATTCTAGACATGTTTTGGATATGAATGTGTATAAAGCTTCCATATTTCTAATAAATATGGTATTATAAACCCTTCTGGTGGTTGGGTTAAGGACTTTTTTAAATTAAGGGCTTAATTGTTAAGACATTATGGATTTGGCTTTATTTGGACATAACATTTGAGATCTTGATCTCTTTGGGTATCTTAATGGATAAAGTTGGAAACTTTATCCATTTAGACTATAGAATGGACCATATTTGAGCTTTGGAGCTCTTGGAATCGAAGGAAACAACTTAATCCATTAAGTTGTTAGAATCTCAACTCCCACGGCGTGCCCATAGGTCACTATGGCTTGGCAACTAGCAATTTCCCGTCAGTTTGATTGCATGAGGGCCACGATGTGGCGGTTGAATAAAGTCAACATTGATCGTTGACTTATGGTATGGGTTGACTTTTGTCAAAATTCTATTTTTAGAAAGTAGAATTAGGGTTTGCCTTGTGTGAATTGATAGGAGGTGTTTAACACCCATCTTTTAGCGATGAGAGCTGTTAGTTGTGGTCGGCATGACTTTGAGCTAGTTTTTAGTCGACTTTGTGATTCAGGTGAGTCTCCTCACTATACTTGGGGGTCAAAGGCGCCAATGTTAACTCAATGGATTATGTTATGTAGAAAGACCAGATGGTGGCACCTAACAATTGCATGAAAGACCTGGATATGGCTCCCGATAAATTGTATACAAGACCAGGGTATGGACCTTGGCAGTTATATATAGAATGCTGGTTGTATTTATGATACTTGCATGGAAGACCAGGAGGTGGCTTCTGGTACTTGTTTGTAAGACCCGAGTTTTGGACCCCGGCTTGGCAAGGAAAGTCTATGATACCACTCATGGAATAATGGAAATTGTAAGACTATGTTGGTACATAGAAATATCTATTGTATGTATAGTATGTGGTATTTTTGGGAACTCACTAAGCTTTGTGCTTACAGTTTTACATTTATGGTTTCAGGTACTTCTGTTTCTAAAAGGAAGCGCCCGATGTGACTACACTGCATCCCCCAGAGTTTCTGCATTGACTACTTATGGTTTTTACTTTGATGTTTACATGATATAATCACTTGATTGGTTTTGGAACAACTTATTTGTACGACTTATTGTTTTAAAAATGAAAATTTTACTCTGATTTTTAGGAGGTTGCATAATAGATATCTAAGAACTAACTTCCGTAACAAACATTGTAACTAACTATATACAAAAAATGAGGAAAAGCACATCGGCTAATTAATTTGAAGTAAAAACATAGGAAAACACATTTAAATCATCTTGTAGCTTTTGTGGAACATAATGACAATTTACCTCAATGTATTTGGTCCTCTCATGGAAGACAAGATTTTTAGCAATATACACAACTGCAAGGTTATCACATTTTAAGGGTATATGTGAAATATTCTTCACTTGTAGTTCTTGAAAGAACTCTACTTAACCCAGCCAATTCTGCAAAAACACGTCTCATGGATCTGTACTCTGCTTCTGCAGATGAAAGAGAAATGGTAACATGTTTCTTAGATTTCCATGAAATGGGTGTTCCTCCAAAAAGAATAAATATCCACTAATTGACTTTCTGGTAATAGGAAAATATGCCCAGTCGGAATAAGAATATTCTTCCAAACGATAATCTTTTACATTATTAAACGACAACCCTTGTGAATAAGTTCCTTTTAGATATTAAATAAAATGGAAGGCTGCTTTGTAGTGATCTTGACAAGTATTTTGACTGAATTGACTAAGATGTTGAACAACAAAAGACAAATCAGGTCTTGTGTGGACTAAAAAAATTTACCTTTCCAATAAATTGTATGTATGTTGTGGGATCTTCAAGAGGAGTGGTCATATTTAGTAACAGCTAAAGATTATTTGGTAAAAGTATGGAGACAACAGAAGAATCCTCCACGTAATAAAACTTGAGAAGTTCTCTAATATACTAATGTTGATGAACCATAAGACCATCTTTAATATAATTGAATTCCAATCCTAAGAAATATCCTATGTTTCCCGGGTCTTTAGTTTGAAAAGTATCATTGAGAAAGTTCTTAAGAGAAATTATTTCAAGTAAATCAGCTCCTATA